ACTACTCTGATACCATGTCAGAATCCCAACCACCGGGAATCAGCAACGTGCAAGCGGAGCCTGGATCTACATCCGATGAGCTCCGAGGCCATGGAGAATGCCCATCAACGTCCACCATAGCTCACGGACCACCAGCGTACTTGCGCCGATCACGGCGGCTCCAGATCCTGTGCGCAAGTGTCGCCTCAAGCCCCGGACAGCTTTGTCAAGCTGTCCCACAGCCGCAGCGCCACCCTCTGCGGGCGCAGCCAACGCGGGCGCCAGCAGCTGCGCGAGCTGGTCCGCTGCAGGCAAGTCTCGCGCGGCCGGTCATGAAACGAGTCAGCAGGGATCGCAGGGAGGGAAGAGTGGGCCAGCACCTGAATCAGCAACAACACATGAAGGCTCTCTGCAGTTGGCCGAGCGTCGCCTCAGGAACACAGGTCTGCGGGGGCTGAAGTGCCACCGCCAAGAATGGAAACGGCTCATCAGCAGCATGAGATGGAGGGTACTGCGCCCTCGCCGCCCCTCCACCAGCAGGAACAAACTCGACGCCTGCCACCAGCGGAACGGGCGGCAAGCGAAGACGAGACCCGGGATCAGCAGCCGAGGCAGCAGGAGCAGGAGCCGATGGGGCAAGGACAGGAGGAGGAAGTGCTGCAGCTGGCGGAGGGACCACAGGAGGCACACCTTGACGAGGAGCCACTGGCACTGGCATGGCCCGCAATGAACTGCTCTGGCTCTGTGTCTCCCTCTCCTTGCGCACGGCCCTCGACACCTCCCGCTGAAGATCCGTCATTGTCATAGGCGGGCGGTACCCCCCGCCACCACCACGCCCGCGGGGAACCCTCCATCCCCCATTGCCACCGGGGTGAGCAGGCCATTGGGCCTGTTGCTGGTAGCGCCAGGGAGAGTTGCGCCGGCGCCGCGACGACTCGCGCTCCTGCTGGGGTGCGGGAGAATGGGGCCGGGATAGGCGGCGGACTGGCGACAGGGGACGAGACGGCTGCGCTACCGGGGCCGTCGGCAGCACAGCAAGTGCAGTTGGGTCCACGACCAGAGTCTCAACCATCGGGGCCGGGCCGCCAGTGGTGGCGGACGCCGCCTTCGGGGACGAAGCGGACACCAGTGCAGGCACGTCGGGGACAGAAGCGGCCGGTGCAACGGGAGCGCCAGAGGCAGGAACAGGGGGAACAGCAACTTCCCCAGCAGGAGCAGACGCCGTCGGCGCAACCAAGGGAGCGAGGGGAACAGGAGCAGCATCCGGAGCGGGCGGAGCACCAACAGGGACAGTCGGGCCAGTCCCGCTCACGCCAAGGGGATCCGCGGGTACGGGGGGAGGAGTCTTTCCACCGTCTGTTGTCGCGGGCTTCGGAGCTGGCGGTACAAGGGGCTTCGTCGCCATGGTCGCCTTTTCATGCCCCGACAGAGGCTTGGCGACGACAGCCGACCAGGCGGCAGCGCGCTCTAGCGACGGCTCAGGGGCACCAGCAATCACCATCGGGGGAGCACGGAGGTCGCGGAGGTCGGATGCTGGTTACTAGCGGGACAGGCAGGGGTCCGGAAAACGGGTACCAAGCAGCGGCGCAAATGGCTTTAACAGCGTTGGCAGCAACTAATGAAGAAGAGGAGCTAAGGGACCCATCATCTAGGGAAGAATCCCTCCCACCAGAAGGCAAGGTGAGAGAAGCAGTAGGGAGAGGAGCAGGCGAGGTGACCATGCAAATACCGCAGGCAGACCAGCAACCGTCAGATGCTGATCGAACGGGTGGCAATCCAACCATTGATACACCAGCACGGATGAGCCGCGGTCGACGAAATCGAGCCGCCACTGCCAATACCGCGACACGCCAAACCATTCTGAGCCCCCGCTACTTTTCGCCTGACGAGCTGGCGAGGCGTGAGGATTTGTTCGCGGCCATCGCCGGCTGGGACATTGCAGCACTCTGTGACAGTCGACAGCCTTCGCTGTCACGGCATTTGCCGCCAAATCTATGCCAGCTGTTTTCGCAAGCGCTTCTGACACCGTTACTCCACCTCTCAGGAAACCCCGAATCAGAAACGGGTTGGCGCCTGCTGCTGTTTCTCCCTCGCCTAACACTTCGCCAAACCTCGCCACAGCGACCAGACTGACCGGGGGTCATGGCCTGGCTCCGAGCCTTGTAGCGTGGCAAATGGGAGCAGCTGTACCTGGACACGGTGGACGCGGTCAAAACACCCCACCGCCACGACACCAGCTTGACGCGACCGGAGTCATTAGCCGAGCTGAGGGGCTCGCAAAACGTGGCAGTCTACACCGAGCCGTGCTGGCCTTGGAGTCAACGGCGGTCTGCACCCCCAGTCCGGAAATTTTGGAGGAGCTTCGTCAGAAGCACCCACCTACTGTACACGAGGCGGTGACCTGGCCCGCGCCACCCGAGTCAAAAGTGTCCATCACCCATGGCGATTTCGCCAAGATTCTGGGAAAATGCGAGAACGGAGTGGGGGCTGGACCCTCTGGCACAACATTTGAGCACATGCGCGACGCGGCCACCACGAACGCAATGATCAGCACCCATCTGCACGCCTTGGTCAACACCCTGCTGGGGGGAAATTTGCGAGGCCCGGTTGCGAACCTCCTGACGACGTCGCGGCTGATAACCCTGGCCAAACCAGGGGGAGGGGCCCGGCCAATCGCGATAGGCGAGTGTTTGACAAGGCTGATAGCCAAGGCAGCCCTGACAGCCATGGGGGAAGCTGCCTGAGAATTTTTCCTGCAACTTCAGTACGGCGTGGCAGTTCCGGGTGGAGCAGAGACAGTAATCCACACAGCCAGGGCATACCTGGATGCCCGCCCCAACAGCCTGGTCCTGCAAGCGGATATTTCAAACGCATTCAACAGTATCTCGCGACACGCCATCGCCACAGCGTTACATGACCCGAAACTCTCGCCACTGCAGCCGTTCGTGAAACTGACCTATGGTAACCTGTCGCAACTGCTCATGGACGCCAAATTCAACTACGAACCCTTGCTCAGTGAACAGGGCGTGCGGCAGGGGGACCCACTCGGCCCGCTACTGTTTGTAGCAGGGATGCACCCCACGCTCCGCGACACTCCAGAAGCACACCCCGACGTGCTTTGCTTGGCGTATGCGGATGATGTCACCTTCCTGGGTGACCCATCCTGCACTGTAGCGGCCTTCATGCATTTCATAGCTAGGCCTGGTGCATAATCCAGATAAATGCGCGGCGTGGAGTTCAACCACAGTCACACCGACTCAACTTCCGTGCGGGGTGCCATTTTCCAAGGACGGAGTACGGCTTCTAGGTAGCTACGTTGGCACTGACGCTGGAGCAGCCGGGTTTCTTTCGGGCCAGCTAGAAGAGATGGCTAAGCCATTACCGTTGATAGAGCGAGCTGACCCCCAGGTGGCCGCACTACTCACGCGATTTATTTCCAGGCGTGTAGCTTACCTCATCAAGACGACCCCCCTCCACCTACTCCCTCGCGCCACCTGGAGCCAGTGGGGAAGGGACCTTACTCACCTCATGCGACATCCGCGTGCCAATGTGTGGCACTGAGCAAAAGCATGTCTGGGAACAGGCGTCATTGCCGATGTCGCTGGGCGGCATAGGCATAACAGGCCCTCTCATAATCGGGATCTACGATTTCACAGCGAGCTTCACCCAGGCGGCGCCTTTTCTTTCCTCCCTCGCGCTAGAACCAGACAGTGCGTTGACAATGGCTAAGAACCACATGCTGGCGCCCCGGGAGGACAGCACCCCCCTACACCGGTGGCTCACGGAATGCGAAGCAGCCCTGCCCCTCGATGCGCCGGAAATCCTGGAGAAGGAGCAATTAGAGCGATCGGACGTTAGGCTTCAGCACGTGCTCAGCTTGAAGGTGCACGGGAGCACATATGCCGCGCAGGTCCAGGCAACTAGGCACATGCAACCGAACGCTCTCTCGGGCCATACGCAGCAGATGTTCTCGCTGACTGGATACAACACCGGGGACTGGCTGACTGCGATCCAAATCAAGGCCACTAGACGAATAGGCCCTGTGCACTTCGCAAACGTCGTGCGGTTTCGGCTGGGCCTCCCCTTTTCCATGCCTAAGAGCTGTGACCGCGCAGATCAGACAGCTATCACAGATCTCCGCCTCCCGACCCATCTCCTCCGCTACGGCACGGGCAAGCATCGCATTAATACCCACAATGAGCTGTGGGATGCGTGCGTTAGCATGGGGCAGCACGCAGGTTTCATCGTTCACAGCGAGTCGGCTGTTTTTTGCCCCATCGAGGAACAAACCACAGATTTCACCATGACGGATAGAAGCAGTGGGGCGGTTTACGTTTGCGACGTCACCATCACCGACCCTATCAGCACGAGGGACCGGGAGGCACAGAAAGGCAGGGGATGGGCGGCCCAGAAACAGGCTGATAAGAAAATCAAGCACTATGCCGACCGGCCAGAGACAGTGGGTTTTTTCCTACTGGCGGTAGACACCTATGGCTGTCCATGCGCGGAAGTACCTGTCTTCCTAAAACTGCTCGCGAATACTGCGGCTCGGCGGCATTTCAACGCCGACTCTAAATCCTTTTACGCCGCCAAGTTTCAGCACCTATTTCGGCAGCGCTAGTTAGTGGCCCTTCTGAGGGCCCAATTGGTCTCCTTCTCAAGTTGGGCGAGGCGGCAGCAGCAGAGAACCCGCCCATAGGAGGTATCGGTCAGGAGCTTCACCCGGGGGACTGATTTGCGGTGGTTGAGCCCATCCTAGAGCTCTAGAGGAGGTAGTGGGTAGGTAGCGTTGTGTTGTGGTTTCACAAGTGAGCAGTTTAACTCACTGGTGAGTTCAGATTACTCTCACGCGTGAGGGGTGGCAAGGACAAAGAGACGGCAAGATATAAATAAGGCACTGGTTACATCATGCAGTAGGCGGATCTACAGCAACCACAACACCACCGGGCGGGAAGCAAACGCCATGGGGAAGCCCAACGCCAGGCCAGTGTCAAATGAGGCTGGCAAGGGGAGGGGGCGTGCTACTCGGCCAGAATCCAAGAAAGCCGCCCGTCCATCCAGCGTAGCACGGACGCGGCAGCCGACACAATGTCGCGTGGTGCCTGTAGGGCGGCAAGGGCAAGCCGCCTCAGAGAAGCAGGACCAGGCCCCAAAGCGGAGCTAGGGGAACCCGGCACCAGCCCGATCAAGGGCAGCATGCGCAGCATCTGCATCGCCGCCGCAGTGGCCTTCTCCTGCTCCTGTAGCGCCATTGGGGGGGGGGGCGCATCTTCAAGCCACAGACGCGCTTGATACACGTGCAGCTGGTCCAAAACCATCGCCAGCAGGGACACGCAAGTCCCCACTTGCCCAACACGCGTTTTGACACGGTCACGCCGAGGGGAGATCGGCGGAGTTAACTCTGCCAGAGACAACGGGGCAGGGGGATTGGGAGAGGCACCCCGAGAAACCAGCGGCGGAGTCTGCTGCTGCCGAGGAGGCTGAGGATGACGCAGGAGCAGAGACCCACGAGCCAGCGGCAAGGGTGGACGCGGACACGGCGGCTGCTGGCGACGCGGCGACTGGAGGGATGCCTGTAGGGGCTGCTGCTCTCAGGGCAATGGAGATGGTGCCGGCGGCGACGGAGTTTGCAGAGATTGCAGGGGAAGCATGGGAGGCTGCTGAGGCTACCGTTGCCGCTGGCGGCGGCTCATCTTCACCCTTGGCCGCGGCCGCGTTTGCCTTGCCACCTGCAGAGGGTTTTTGACCGGGCTCGGGATCGGGGGCAGCGCTGTCACAGGCTGAGGAACCGGCACCGCCACGGCCGGTGGGGGCATCGACGGAGGCAGCGGCTGCAGGAGGGGCGGAGGTGGTCGTAACGGCTTTCGCTGTGTGTGACGGTACTCCTGCTGCCGCCGTGGCTACAAACAAGCGGGAGCCCGGCCAGGCGGAGGGTGATAGTGCGGATCCCGCGAACGGCGCTGCCTCCGACGCTGCCCGGACGAGGTCGAAGAAGAAGCTGCGGGCCCAGCCAGCGCCGAGAAGGCCCGGAGCAGGGTTGGGACCTGGCTCCCCGGGGCCCCTCCAGGGCTGGCTTCGGCAAGAGCAGTCACCACGATCGCAAGTGCGTCAACCGCCATCTGTGGAGCCAAGGATGGGGGAAAACGAAGGGGAGACAAGAGAAAGGGGGGGGTGGGAAGGAAGAAAGCCGCAGAGCGGCGAAGAGGCGTCGGTGCAGATGGGTCGGGGGCGGCAGCAGGGAGTGCAGGGGCGGAGAGGCCCGTCGCGGGCCAGTGCCACGGGGCGCACGACGGATAGGATAAAAGGGCCCGATCGTGTGCCTCGGGGCACACGACGAGCAGGGCACCATCGTGTGCCACGGGGCGCACGATGGGCAGATAAAGGGCACCGTCGCGTGCCACGGGGCGCGCGACGGGCAGGGTAGGAGTCACACGCCCGTGGGCGGGACAAAGTAAAACTGAAATCGTCACGCGCCCTAGGCGCGCGACCGGAAAATCTCAGCAGCGGAAGAGTAACGCGGGCCCACAGGCCAGGACGAAAACAGCTCTGATACCATGTCGAACTTAAAGTAGATTAAGTTGAAAGGTGAGGGGCCTAGGCTTAGTAGCCTAGGCCCTTAACTAGGTATCGAGCGGGTTTTCACCTAGGGTGAGAGTCGAGTGAGTTGAGAGAGGAAAATTGGAGAATGTGGTTTCACTATAGGATTCGAGATACATATAGCAAAGGAACACATGAAGGGGTGCACCACCTACAAATTTAATAACTACACTACAGCTAGAACTTCATGCAGTTATAATAAATATAATTTTGACAGAATGTCAGGGAAACACTACCCTCAGGCGTAAGGGCGGGGCGCAATTCACTGGAAGCTGGGATCCGACAAGCGCCCCAGCGGGAAATACGGAGCACCACACGTGCACGGGGCATCACCTGGGGCTAGCCGAGGGGAGGTATGACTGGAAAGACATTCTCACCGTGGATCCTGGCGGGAAGAGCGCCACAAGCTGGGGGTGGAGGGCAAATCAACGAGATCCAGACTGGAGGAGGCGAGATGGCTCACGGGGCCCGAGGCGGAGGTCGTGGGGGAAGATGCGGAAGACAAGGCGGGGGCGCAATCGTCGGGGATAGAGAGGCGCTTGTGAGATCGGGAACGTGGCGGGAATGCCACAATCGACTAGAACAAGATCTGCCACCGACGAATCAAGAGGCGGAGGAATCTGACAACAACGATGACGGCAAGGAATATGTAGCTGAGGAGATCTCGTTGGAGGAATAGGGAGCCACGGCAAGGAGAGCTAGGAGACACAGTACGGGTGGGAGAAACCCTCAGCAGGAAAACCACCAAGAGATAAACCCCCAGGAGCAAGGAGAGAGACGGGCGTGGGCCAGAGAGAGCCAGGAGGGCCGATGGTACAATTGCGTGCCGACCTGGCAGCAGATGACTCCATCTGGCAACAAGCAGCCACGTGAGAGGTCGCACCACTCCAGCGGAGCGACCAACTTTTCTTGGTTCCAAGAATGCCCCCCAAAATCCTGGAGAGTTACACCCTCTGTGTCCTGGCCCCACTCCTGCGCCTCACAAAACATCCCGACTGCCCCAGGGCTTGGGTAATCCTGCAATTTCTTCCGAGGCTGACTCTACGACCACTTCCCAAACCTGTTGAAGGAAGCCGATGGTCAGGGATCGAGGGAAGATTGCACCAGTTCCAGCAAGGTAGATGGGAGGAACTCTTCGGGGAGGCAAAAGTCATCCCTGACATGGAGAACCCAACAAGATACCAAGCTGATGTTGCGGGATTCTGTGCTATTGCGGAGGGTTTGATGAAAAAGGGTAACATTTTGAAGGGAGTTGCAGCATTACGTACAACCCCGCTCTCAGAAACCACACCAGCGACGCTCGCAACACTGCAGGCAAAACACCCTGATGCGGCCTCGCCCCTCGACTTGTGTCTCTGGCTGTACTCACTCGGCGCTGAGAGTTACCCCTGACGACCTTCGCGAAATACTTAAGCGATGCCCGAACGAAATGGGAGGAGGGCCTTTGGGCACTTGTTTCGAACACCTCAAAGACCCAGCGCTCGCGAGTGAAGAAGTGCTCATACTCCTGGCAAAAACAACCAGCTACCTCCTTAGCACCTTCCAGACCCAAGCTGTCCGTGACTTGCTACTCCCCTCAAGGCTCATCGCCCTGGAAAATCCGGGAGGCCGAGTTCATCCCATAGCAATAGGAGAGGCGCTACTTCACATCGCGGCAAGGAGGACGTGGCAGTCACGGGCGGTGCGAAGTGCATTGTGCATTCAGTTCATGCGCTGCTTAAAGAGGACGAGACTCGCATCGCGCTACAACTCGACATCGAGAATGCCTTCAACAGCGTTGAACGACAGGCGTTATTCCAGGGGCATATGCAATCGAGCTTGCTCTCTCTTTTGCCCCTAGTTCACACGCTGTATGAGGGCCCGTCGCGCCTCCTAGTGGACCGTAGGCTGGGCGTCGACCAGATCGTGAGCAGCCGTGGTGTCTGTCAGGGAGACCCGCTGGGCCCGCTCCTTTTTGCAGCGGCAATCCAACCTACGCTACTGAGTACGGCAACACTCCTCCCTGAGGTGGCGATTGTCGCCTATGCTGACGACATCACCATCGTGGGACCATGGGATGCGGCGTACGAGGTGTTTATCAACATCACAAGGGAGCTCACCTCGCTCGGGCTCCTTTGCAACATCGCCAAGTCCACGGGGTGGGGGCAGAGCACGGAGGAGGGAAACGAGATACCACCCCCACATGGTCTGCCATTGAACACCAACGGCATTGGAGTTTTGGAGAGCCCAATTGGGACACGTGCCTTCTGCACGGACCAGGCACAGGCGCAACTCACGGGGGCATCCGCTCCACTGCCTCTGATAGCTCAGCTTCACCCCCAGCACGCCATGTTCATGCTCTCTCAGAGCATCTCACGCAGGATTTCCTACCTGCTGCGGACTACATCGGCGGCGGTCCTAGAGAGGCATGAGTGGAGGTCATGGAGCGAATCTCTGCCGGGAGCGGCACTCGCAGCGGCAAAACTGCGGGTCCCGGTGAGTGAGCTAGAACAGAGCTTGCTTTGGCGGCAGGGGACCCTATCGTGTTGGCTAGCAGGGTTAGGCATTATTGACCCTGTCAACGAGAGTTGTCTGTTAGCCCTGTCCTCGCTTGGGCGGAGCTGACTTCGTGGTCGGGTGTGAGGGAAGCAGCCGACCTGCAGCAGTGGGCGAGCTGGTTGACAACGAGGTCGACCTGCACGGGGGTTACTGCTCGGACGCCGACTTTAGGGTGGCGCCGACTTCAGGGAGGTCGACTTTGGAAGTTGACCTGCGGAGGGCGTCGACTTGTGACGCCAACTTGGGGCAACCGACTTGGATGGTCGGCTGACAGGACTGCTGGTCGACCTAGTGGTTGGTCGATCAGGCCTGCTGGTCGACGTGGTGGTTGGTCGACCAGGCGTGATGATGACCTTGTGGTCGACTTGACCTGGTGGTCGACGGCGGAGGGGCCGATGTCGACCTCGACTCAGGACGCCGAGCAGCTGGACGTCGAGTAGCAGGGCGTCAACTTGGTGACGCCGACTTTGGGTAGCCGACTTGGGTGGTCGGCTGACAACTGTGCTGGTCGACATGGAGCTGGTCGACCAGGAGTGCTGGTTGACATGGAGCTGGTCGACCTGGAGCTGGTCGACCAGGGGCGTGGTCGACCTGGTGAGGTTGACTTGGGGTGGTCGTTGACTTGGAAGGTTGACGAGCACATACAAGACCAGCTGGTCGACGTGGTTGCCCAGTCGACCAGGTTACCCGGGTGACGAGGTTTTGCAGAGGAGTGCGAGGGTCACCCAGGCAAAGTTGGCAAGTCCGACCTCGATGGTGGTATCCCGAGGTCAACGTGGCTGATAAGATGCAGTCGTTAGCGCCAGGTTGACTTGGTGTGTGCGCTGTGCAGGTGACAAGGCTCTGCAGGCCAATCATCTGCGAGCACCTGCGAAGCTGGTGCGCTGCTGTTCTGCGGGAGCAACGCTGGCACGCTGTCAACCTGCAGCATTGGCACGCCGTTGACTTTGCACTGCTGGAGCGCGGTCGACCAAGTCGTGCTGGAACGCGGTCGACCATGCTGCGCTGGCAGTCAACCGACCCAAATGCTAGCTCTGATGTAGTCTTTCCATGCCAACTTCTTTGTACCATTGTTGTCAACTTTCTCTAGTGAAACTCTTGCCAACTTGCCCCGTGAACTAGCAAGCAGTGTGTGCACTAGGAAAACAACTAAGGACTAACGAACGCAGAGATCACACGAGCACCCGTGCCTAGCCCGTAGTCTAGCTCCCGTTGTAATAGTAATCTCCGCATGGTGCGGTGAGCGTGGACGGCACACGACTTACCTTTCAATCAGGTCGACGTAGAGGTCACTGACCTAAGTTGTTCGTAGGCCGGCAGCCGTGAAGTCACTAGCGTGCGCGTAGGTGACGCCAAGGGAATGGAGACCCTGGAAGCACAGCTGGAGGACGCGAGGACACGCCATGGGGCCCAGGAGTACGGAACGATCCCCTGGGCGGTTGTGGAGGCTGGCATTTGCACCATGTGGGCGACGTTGCACCCTTCTTGACCTGCATCTCCTCGACTGGTGAACACAGAGGGCGTGTGCGTCCACGCCGGTGGTGACCAGGTCGGCAGCACGGCGGGAGGCACGTCAAGGCAGAGAGGTGTGATACACGCCGATGAAGTCGGCGGCGTTCAGGCGCATGGAGTGCGGTCGTCGGCGGCTGCAGGCTCCTTGCATGGCAATGTCGGAGGTCGACGAAGCGGTTTGTCGCCGATGTTGGCGACCTAGGTGACGGCGGGCGGGATTGCACCGAGCTACGGCTACTTCAAGTTCACGCCGGACAGGATCTTGGTCACCCCATCGCTCACTGGTCGACCCGACATACTCACGTGGAAGGAAGCCATCGAGCCCCAGGTGGAGATGGCCGAGCTGACCAGCTTTGCTCGAGCCCACCATGGCGACGCCGAACGACCCCGACTTGCGTGCGGAGTTTCGCGCCGTGCAGCTGTTGACATTCACGGTCATCTTGCGGTGCTGCTTTCCGGGCGTGCAGATCACCTTGAAGTGGTGCCGAGGGTACCTCGACACCGGCCACCGGGCGTGGCACTTCATCGAGTCGACCTACCAAGTCACCAACGACTTGTTCATCGCCCAGCTGGAGGGGCAGCTGACGCAACTGCGTATGGGCGACGAGGAGACGGCGACCGACTACTGCAACCGGGCCCGGCGAATTCTCGCCACCATCAAGATGGCCGGCGCGCAGTACTCGACGGCGTTGTACGTCACTCACGTCATGCAGGGACTCTTGAGCAGCTACAACCTTCTGAAGCGGCTGTCTATGGCGCCGGGCACGAGGACGACGCTCAACGAGGATAACTTGACCTCGTACATCCTGCAGGACGAGGCGATGCAGGAGGCAGAGCGGTCACAGGAGCTCTTGGCGCAGGTGATCTTCGCCACCCCAGAGAAGCATGGAGGTCGACCGGGGCAGCGCGGACATTCTGGCGGCGGTGGTAGCAGTGGCTGGAAGCTAGCCAAGGAAGTCGACAAGAAGAAGTCAACCAAGGACAGCGGTCGAGGAGGAGGAGGTTGACGTCAGGACGGCCGGCTGTGCGGCGACCCCGACCACCTCTCCTTCGAGTGCCCCGACCGCAGTGACTCCGTTGACGACGACGCCATGGGAGGCCTTGGGAGGTCTGGCAGTCGTCGTCCTTGTCGAGGAGGGAACAAGCCGCGCAAGGAGATGCAGTCGATCAAGTCAACCTCGGTGAAGGAAGCCGACTCCTTTGCTGGAGGCAAGGCGCGGGACAACAAGACTGCGTCGTGCTCGCTGGTCGGCGTCGTGGAGCCGACCATCTCGCTGGCGCCGGAGGCCGGGGAGGACTTCCACGCGGTGGCGGCAGCTGTGCAGGCAAACCCGGTGGTGGTCCTGCTCGACAGCGCCTGCTCCCACCACCTGATGGGGACAAAGGAAGTATCCGTCGACCTGCAGCCGAGCGGCTCCATCAAGCACGTGCGCGGTTTCAATGGGGCGCTGCAGGACGTCCAGGGCCGCGGCACCGTCGCCCTGCAAGGGGAGGCCGGGAAGGAGGTGCTCATCCCCGACATGCTGTACGTCCCGGGTGTGCGAGCAAACCTGCTGTCGTCCGGCCAGCTGAAGGAGCACGACGTGAAGCTACAGAAGGATAGCGACGGGATGCTGCTCGTCTCGGCAGCGGGAGAGGTGCTCGGTCGGGCGACGTACTCTAGGCGTGTCCTCTTCACCGACCTGCGTCCCCGCTCAACGAGGCTGACTTCGCCAACAAAGGAGGTCGTGGCCCTGCGGGCGATCGTATCGGCGACAAAGGCGAAGTCTTACAGGTTGCATGCGCGGCTTGCGCACGTCGG